GAAAGTAATTTCTACCACATTAACCCTAAAATTTTTCCACAAAGAGCAAAACATTTTATTTATCAGAAATCATGATAACAAAATGGCATAAAAGATTATGTCACCATATCATAGACAACACTTAATTTTATGGGGAATAGACTTGAAAAGGCTATGATAATCAATGAGACATTCTCATTTGATCTTTGATATTTTCCTCCTTTGTGTGAAACGAATTTACATTAACTTTCCTGTGCTGAGTAAATGTTGAAACAGTGTCATCTGAGGATTCAGGGAATGAACACACTACAATGATCACTAGCATTAAACCCAAAACCAAAACTTGTCTCAAAAACAGTCTCTGAGGGATGGGATTGTAGGTCAGTGGTAGAGTGCTTGCCTAGCATGTGTGAAGCACTAAATTCGATCCTCAGCACCATATAAAAATAAATAAAATGTGTTGAGTTTCCTGTGCCTGGGTGGAGGAGTGGTATTTCTACAGGACAGAAAGATCTCTCTTCAGTCATTTTCTGAAAGGATTGCTCCTCTGTTGGTGGATCACATAAGATAATTATTTAAGACTTTAAGAAAAAGCAAGAACTTATGGGGAAAACTGATTTAAAAAAAAAAAAAAGGTGTGCCTGTTGTGTTGGCGATTTTGGAAAAGATCTCCCTCTCTTGCATTCCAGAGCTCAACTGAGCAGGTGTTGGGTTTTATCTGTTGCAGATAGTGGCGTATATCACTTCCCCATCCCCGCCTCCCAAGAGTCAGTTTTCCTGCTTCCAGATGTAAGGCCACTCCTCCCTCCCGCCCACTTCACTTCCCAAAGGAAGAAAAATCTCTTTCAAAGAACTTGTGGAGAGTGGCAGCTTTCAAGCTCAGTCAATTCATTCACATTCCTCGATGGTGCAATACATCTGCTACCAATTATTATATCTGGGAGCACATGGGATGCCCAGAAGAATAGGGGAGTTTCCCTATGAACACTTTCCGTTGCTTTTCACGTAGTGGGTTTTATCTTGTGCGCCACCCCTGACCTGGGTGGCGGCCTCCACCTTTGGCGAGTGTGAAGGGCGGTGACTGCACGCTGTGAGGTGGACGCATGGCCCATGTGCAGTGTCTAAGAGATCCCAGCGCTTTGGGGAGTGAAGATGGCATATCGCAAATCTTTTAAGATAGCCGCTCTACCGGCTTCCTCAAAAGTTCGGTCGCAACATCAGAAGGTAAGAAAGTGACCTCCCATATACTCAGCTCCTAGAAAAGAACTATCTTGGAAAACTGCCCAGAAGTTTGAAATAAAGTTTAGGTTGATGGCTTTGCTCCTAGTTTTCTAAATTCCAATTCGTGTCAAGGCTGAATAATAATTTGATCTGGAAGATCAGAAACATAATGCTTCGGAGGGGGGCGGTGATTCCTTAAAGATGATGCTTAAACATCATCTTCCCAGACTGAGAGCCGGGATGCCAGCCCGGTGCAGTGCCTGAGGGGGCTTCTAAGCTTTATTCGCGCTTCCCGGGGCGAGGGTCCGAGCAGACCCAGAAGGCGGAAGAGAAGGACCCTCTAAAGCAACAAAAGAAGAAACATTAAAAGCCCAGTTGCGGCTTCGGACCCGGAGACTGGAATTAAGGGCCACACCCCCTCGGACAGAAGGATCTCGCCTCCTCCGCCCTCCACAGCAGCGAACCAGGCCTGGAGCAGCTGCGGAGGAACAAAGGTGCCTCATTTACATAGCGCTGGGGCGCGCCGGGACGCGCGGCACAAGAGGCGCCAGGGCTCGGGAGAGGCCTGCCTCGGGGAGATGCAGGCTGGGCTCCCAAAAAAGCCATGGAGAACGTCTGAGTTGGCCTGGGACAGGGGAACTAAGATGCATCTAACCCCACAAAAACATGCCCGCTGGGTGGGCGCCGGGGAGAAGTCAAGTTGCGCTGACTCTGGATCCAAGGCAGTGGAAGGGCCCAATCCGGAGAGAGGCGCCCACCCTTTCGCCTGCGCGTCTGCAGGTGACCCTTGACTAGCCCTCTGGTGCTTTACTCACTGCACCCGGCTGCCTTAAAGCTTTGGGAAAGAACCCTGGGTCAGCACCCAAAAGGTGTTTGCCGAGCCGCTGCTGAAGAGCAGGCCACAGTGCGCAGCCTGGCGGGAGTCAGGCCTCCCGTGGGAAGGAGGCGTTCCTGGGAGGAACTGCAAAGTTTTCTTGGGCACTAGGAAAGAGTAACGTTGCAAAGTCGGAAACTTGCTTCGCGAGGGCGTGTGTGCCCACTGTACTGTGGTGTGTGTCGGGGCGGGGGAGAGGGGAAAAGGCAATGAGAGAAAGGGGAAAAGGTTAAGGGAGGGGAAGACGCTGCGCCAGCAGAAATGGGCGGGGAAGAGAAAGTATGCTGCGAGGGTCTGCACCCTGAATGGGGGCTGCTCCTAGCTCCACTAGCGGTGATAGGAGGAGACAGGGTCGAGTCACAGTTCCAATAGAGACAAGGGGAAGGACTGTACAGAGCTCCTGAGGGTGGATTTCTACAGTCAACGAGGAAGGGGATGCTGGCGTGGCCGCCAGGCAGGGCTTCACGGTTGCCATAGTGCCGCGGCGGAAGCGCCCGGCGCTTGGCAGCTAGTAGCCTCCCGGGGGTGAAGGATGGAAGGACTCTATAGGCTGCCCTTTCCCCCAGGGGGGCGGCGGGCCCCACCAGCACCCAAATGCCTGCCACCGCCCAAGAGCAGCTGCTGTACTACCATCCCCGACCCTTTTTCTTCCAGGGCACAGGGCCTGGGTTGAGGCACTGGCTCCTCTTTAGAGCCAAAATTGAAAATAATCACTCTCGAATAACTTATACTCTCTTAACCAACCATCCAATCCACTCAGAATGTTTGCCACAGAAGAAAATAAAACTCCCACCGTTGCACCAAAATAGTCCAGACAGGGAAATGTTCCAGTGATTACAATGTACACACTCCTTCCCCACAACTCAGGTCAGGTATCAGAGAAAATAGATCTCCACGTGGAAGATGTTTAAAGTTAATATAAAAAATAGCAAGTTATTTAGAGACTGACTCTTGCTGTAGGGTATCAAGGTACTAGTGTGGAGGTCTTTTCCTACTACCCTATTTCTTAAGAGTATTCTTAGTTAGAGTTAGTCTAGGAAAATGTATTTTTGTGTATGTGTCAGCTCTTTTGGAAAGCTGCTATACACTGTGCTACAGTCGCCAAGATTTTTAATATGAAGATATGAAATGATCAGCGAATGTAACAATCTAATGATTCAGCAAATATTGTGCTGCAAGACCAGAGCAGCAATAATTAAATCTTTAGAGTATTGGTGTCAGTTTTTGGCTCCAAGTCCTGCCCCCCACCACCCCGTCCAAAAACACTAATTCACACTTATTCACAAAAACACACCACAAGATTCCTCAGAATTCTACATAATACTCAAAATTTCACGCAAAACTATCACACAGTAGCACTTACCATATTTGAAGTAGAACTGCTGAAAACACAATTTCCAATAATATAGGGACCTGTTTAAGCCTCTCCAAAGAAATAAGCATTCCTGTAGATGCTTGTTGCTAAGAGCAACATACTTAAGTACCATCTAAAGACAAGAAGAAAGCAGGGAAACTACATCTAAAACCTATTGTTTCTTTCATCATTATCAGCCTTCTTGACTACATATGTCTATAAATGTGTCTATTGAAGTGAAAGGTGAGGTTCCCTTTTCTAACATGTGAAAGGACCTCTACCTTATTTCTACAGATTCTATGACAGTTCATGTAAAACACACACACACACACACACACACACACACACAGGAAAAATAGAAGATGCTGTTGGTGTTACAGAAGATTCAAGCAATCATCCTTTGCTTTAAGTTGTACTTAACAACTTAATGCATCCACTTTTATTTCAAAGACATACACTCAGAAATATATGGTTTGGTGCACTCTTTGGTCTAAATCCACTCAAACTGACAAAAGAGGCGCCTCAGTGTAAGCATTTACCCTGTTGGCTTCCTCCTCTCTTGCCCCTACCTACTTTAGGGAACTTTATCTAATTCAGCTTCTTACTAAAAACTCCAGTGGCCATGAAGAGCAGCTGAACCTTCCTACACTTAATTTCCTCTAAGCAAACCTGACCAGGGCTTGCACTGGAGTCCCACTGTTGAGATTTTTCTTCAAGCTCCAAAGAAACCTTGATTCCTAGGAAAGCAATAAATTCTCCTAAAATGTAACTATCTCAGGTCTTTTATCATGCCAGAGTGAAATAAAGATGCACACTAGACCCAGTACACAATTTTCTTACCCCCCTATCCCCAGTTACTACCATACATCATCTATTAGTCCTGGACTCAGAGAAAAGCTGTGAACAGACTCATCAAGTTAAACAAACAAACAAAACTGTCTTATGGCTATTTCACTCCAACTGAGCAGAGTCCTCCCCTTAAGGAAAGCCTTGAATTTTAGGATACTTTTTAAAGCTTCGCAACCCAATAAGGACACCACAAGCTAAGAAAGCTTTGGAGTAATAGAAAAAGCTCTCCGACAAAAGAAATCAAATGGGCTAGCGCCTTTCGTTTGCACGTGAGGACTTGGTCAGGGCGGAAGTGGACAGAAGCAACTCCCCAGAGTTACCAGACACTAATTCATCAGCTCTGTAAGCTAAGAGGCTTGCAGCTCTGGCGCTCACTTTTGCTCTGACCTCGCAGCCCTCGGAGCCAGAAAGGCTCTGGGGGAGACAGGCAGACGCGGAGGCTGGTGGAGCCCTTAGCGTCATCACCATCTCTCTGGCTTGCTACTGTGGAGAGGTGAATGCAGCGACCACTACCATACATTGACATTCCCTTCACCTTCCCGAGGCTAAAAATAAAGATACAAGAAAATAAATGAAAGCACAAGGGTTCTTTAAAACCGGGAGGCATCAGAGCAGTGAGTAGGTTGGAAAGCACGGAGCCCACCGCCAGCCTGAGTGAACCCGCCTGTTTACATCCGGCTGCCTAGGAGCCGGATGCCCGGCAATGGGGATGGGAAATCTTACCAAATCTTAATACATGTGTGGTTCCTTGAGAATATCCAATCCACAGTAAACAGAGCAGGAGTTTAATGGAGCGCCTGAAGACTAGATTACTTAGAATCGGGGAAATAATCTTCATGGTGTTTCTGTGCCTACACGCGCTGCACCCACTTCCCCGATCTAGCGTTTGGCTCCCGGTTCGGGCTGGAATGAGGATGCGTCGAGTGGTAGCCGCAGACACGATCACGGCATGGTCACAGAAAGAGGAAGGAGTCTCCGCTTCCCAAACCCATTAGCAATCGCTGCATGTTCTTCACTCACTGCGCCAAGGAGCAATCTTCCACTGCAAGGGATGGTGGGACATCCATGTTAGTCGGGGAGCATCCGGCAGAAATCCAGCACGCACACCCACAATGTCCGGCCGCGCGAGCCTAGGGATGCAAAAGAGGAGCAAAATCAATAGGAAATCCAGCCTTGGATATGGACGAGGTGTTGAGGGCTTGACAGTCCCAGTACAAAAGCCGCTTTGCTCGCAAAGGTTTTGCCAGGCCCTATTCTACTGCACTGCTGCACAGCTTCTGACGTGAAGCCAAGATTAAGTGAGAAAAATTGAGATCGCTGCTCGCCTGTTAAGGCTCCCTGCCAGTGAGCTTCCCAATATCTATTATGCAACCGATCTGATAGCCCGCCTTGAGTTGTAAGAAAGAAGTCGGGATTTATTTACGTGATGAAAATTGCTTTGATTTTTCAATAAGACACTGCTAAGAGAGTGACTGGTGTGTGCAAGCAGACTTCTTAACAATCAACTGATGAATTTTAATAAATGACTAGCTAAGTCAAAGAAGTCACTTTGCCTAGAAATTGCGAAGAAGAAGAAGAAGGAGGGGGAGGAGGAGGAGGAGGAGGAGGAGGAGGAGGAAGAGGAGGAGGAGAAAAGAAAATAGAAAGAAAGAAAGAAAGAAAGAAAGAAAGAAAGAAAGAAAGAAAGAAAGAAAGAAGGAAGAGAAAAGCTCTAAGGAATTTATTGCAAATCTAACTTGTGGATAGGTTGAAAGAATTGCTTATACTTTTTAAAATTTTGACTAGGAATGAATATAGAGTGGGATGTAATTGTAGAGGTAAATGTAGTTTTTAAAAACTTGAGTTAAGCATTTCTTGATTACTAACCAGAGTAAAGAGAGATTTCTTCAAGTGAACTTTTAGGGGAGAAATGTTAACTTAAAATGAGAATATTATATTTCCCCACTCACTATAGCTCATATAAAATAATTGTACATATATAAAAGACAATAAAGTTTTAATTCATGAAGCAAACTCCAAAAGATTTTTATGCTAAAAAAAAATCCTATTTTGGTTTTTGGATTTTTTTTTCTTTAAACGGTGGAATATGGGATCATAGCTTGATCAACATTGAGTGTCAGAGCTTTGTCTCAAATAATCTTATTATTTGTTAGTTTTCTGTTGGGAACACTTAGAGTGTCCTCTCTAGGCTTGCATAAGTAGCAATTTAGAGGAAACAGTAAATATTTTTATCACTGAAATAAGTAAATATAAGTAATATCATATTGAAAATACTCAGGGCTAGCTAGAATTTTATAAGTAAATACTAACATATATAGCATATAAGTAAAACTAACATGTATAGCAACTGTTAATATTTTTAACTGATTAAGCAGCACAAAAGGCAAACTATTGAACTTCAACGTTACCATTAAATAATTTTTTCTTAACCAAATAATAGGACATAGGTTAAACCTTATGAAAACTTATGATTGTATATTATTTGAAGACTATCTAATTTTAAAAATAGTGATATGAGTATTATTTAAGTCCTGTTATGTTTCTTCCAAATAGCACGAAAACATAATGTCTCCATTCTATTATAGTAATTTTTCAATCTGTATTTTCTTAAGACATTATAAAATGCTGATTCGAAAAGGAATCTACATTTTGCAAAGGCACTTAGTGGCATTGATTTTTTAAAGATGGAGACATAACTGCAGTGTCAAAAATAAGTATCATGAATGGCTAGTTCTGCAGTCTAGCAGGCAATTCAATCAAATAAGTCGACTATTTGAGCACTTTAAAAGGAACACCTAGTGTTCAAAACAAGGGTATCTAGCGACTCCTTCAGTCCATGTTTAAAATATCTCTTGTAAAACGTACAGCCCAACATGTTCTATCTTGTATTTGTTGTCTCATTTTATTCCATTCTGTTTGTTCATTTTCTTTTTGATCCTAGTAGAGATAATAAGGACTGCCAGGCAAAAATAAATATTCTTAGTTTTTCCATCTTCCAATGCAATTGATATCTACTACCTGAAAAATAGCACATTCTTTTATGGCTAAACAAAAGACTGCAATTTTTGCAGTGTAGTTGGCATATAGTGTGACCCGAGAAAACAAAGTGCACCATAACTCCTTGTTCAGGTATTCTGTTAACATAATGGAATTTGTCCTAACAGTTGTAATATATCTTCTTAAAACTTATATTCCAGACTATGTACTTTATGTGGGGTTATTTGTTGAATGTCTAATTAAAACAGTGAAAGATCAAAGTTCCAGATTCATGAAGTTCATAAACAATAAACAGTTAAAAATAGTCTAGTATAAATTTTTCTTACAACTAATTGGTCCCCCAAAGAACCAGTTTTGCACATCTGCTAAATTAGGTTCATTTACATCCATCAACTAAGTTGAGAAGTTTAAGTTGCAACTGACAGCAACCCCACCTGTCCAATTGAACTTCTGCAAGACTGGGGAACGACCTTTCTTCAGGACCATGGACAGTGCTTCAGGCATAGATTTATTCTGGAGTTGTCATTGAAAGTAGTACAGTGAATGGGTAATATGCCATTTGAAGTGACAACATGCATATTTCTATTACACAGAGTCAAGTAATTTGAATTATTTCAGAGTACATTGTCAAGAGGATAATTTTTTCAACTGTTTTGTGTATATTTTTCACTAACTGGATTGCCTGACATAACCAGGATGTGCTGTCATCTCTTTCCAGGGCACACTACTACAAAAGCCACTTACATTCACTGTGCAATCCCTTATGAGCACTAAACTATTTTTTTCTCAGTACAAAAAAATTGCCTGAAAGACTACAAAGAATTCAGGATAAAGAAACATGCTGTCAGTATTCAGTGGCTAAAGACATTTCTAAAATGTACAATTAGTTTTCACTCTCAATTCTCCACCTCCAGATTTCCATCTGTTATGAGGATAACAAGATTAATTCACATTCTTTCTTATTAAACTTCACTCACTCTCCAGAACTAGAACAACAAAACCCACAAAATTTACTTCCCCAATACAACAAAATAATTTGGTGGTGTAATAGATGCCACAATATGTGAAAAAGTTGAAGTTATCACAAGTTTCTTCATAATAAGGACACTATCATCATAGTTTTGAGGTTATGAAGAATTTATAGACACTATATAGTATTTAACTGACATGGTTTAACTCTTCTTCTTCTTCTTCTTTTTAACTATGACAATTCTGTAATTCGCTCCTTTTGTAAGGGAAAAGAAAAAAACTTCAATTGGGTGTCAGGTTATCATTTATATTTAGTAATAGCAACATTTAGTTGCCTTATTGTCATTTTAACTACATGGCAACCTTAATTTCTAGAAGTCAAAGCTTTGTAGGTTCCAAGGTCAAAGCAGAGATTAAAAGAAAAACTGCAAACACACAGTTATATACACAGAGAAGAGATATGTCTAAAAGTAAGCCTTGAAAAATATACCACGGAAGGTTGACATGAAGAAATATCAAGCCCATGATAAAAGAAGAAAATACATATCACGTTCTTGCAAAGCTTGTTACAACAACAACAACAACAATCCATTAGCTTCATAGTTCAATATATATATATATATATATATGGTATTTGCTGACACTAATGACCTCTTATTCTTGGGCACTATTACTTCAGAAGCAATTTTAGTTTCCTATTCTCCTGTGAAAATGAATCTTATTCTAGTTAGCTGCCACCTGCTGGGGCATGAACAAATGTGTAATAATCCTTATAGCACAACATTTAAAAAGGCAATGCCTATACCTTTGGCTGGAAATATATATCCCAGAGTAACCTGAATTTCATAGGTGTTTCAAAGGTTCTTCCATGCTAGATCTACATTTCATTTTTTTCACATGTATTTCTTATTAAGAATTCCAACTGACTTGTTACTAAAGTCATGCTGTTATGTGACATTTGAGAGACCTCATCTTGTAGTAACACCTAACTTATTCTTTCATGCAAGTGGCATGCTGTATTGCAGCTTAGCTAAAATAAACAGCCTGCTCATCCATGGGATTAAAGAGGCCAGAGAATAAAGTCAAGGCTGAGATCAGTCAAAACCACACTGTTGCATACTTGTAATTCATTCTTCCTAACTAAGAATGCTATGCTAGCCCTTGTGATTCTGAATACATTATCAGCTCTTCTGATAACATTCTACTGCATTGATGATTAATGACATTTAGAATTTTAATTAATTTTAGATACTTAAAATGAATGTGTCTTAATTAAGAAATTAAAGTGGAATAGATTTATGTATCCTGGAACCTTTTTTTTTTTTTTTTTAAATCAGCTTTGCAATCTTCAGAGGGTTTAAATAGCAGAAACAAACAGGTAATGACTTGTAGGCATCACTCATTCTCTATCACCTTCCTTCTGTGCTTTTTTGTTTGTTTAGCACATAAGTTACTAAGGCCATTGGCAGGAAGTTGATAACCTGCCTTGGTTGTTCTAGAAACGCATTCTACAAAAAGTTACAAACTAATGAACTAGGAAAAGTGGAGATTGAAGTACAATTGTCTATTTTCTAGCAATTCAACTACAGACTAAGATTCAAATGAATCAATCATCTGTGAAATGAAAATAATTATTAATCCATAAGAATTTCTGATGACAGAATAGAGTCTGAAGAGGAAGAACTGATAAAAAAATAATCTGTGAGTTAGGGAAAGGATGTAGTAAGTTAGATACATATTCTCTATTCCCTAAATTGGAAATTATTATCTAAGAAGCCTCAAACCCGTCCTGTTGTTCAGTTTACACACACATACACACACACCCCTAACGTCTCAAAGGTAAAATATTAGGGGATGCGGTTTGTTAACAAAGTTCTTAAGGCTGATGATCCACCTCAGTGACACTGCCCACTCCTTACCCTAATGGGACGCCCCTCGTAGTTTGTTTGTTGTTGTTGTTGTTTTCCAGAAGCTCTTAATACTGGCGTCAGTTAAAATAATGTCTATACTTCCTCAGCTCACAACTAAGGAGCAGGGTTAATGGAAGGATACACGGACGGAACCAGAGATGGAGAGTCGTCAGACCCGCAGGCAGCTACACAGCTTCTTGCCATCTGTCTCACTCTCTTCGCCTCGCGTGAGTCCCCGTAGCTGAGGCCACTTCCTGACACATCAACTTATTACATTATTTTATGTGAAGAATATGAGCGCCTGCAGCCAAAAGGCCACTTGCATCCTTGACAGGAATTGACTGAGGCGAGTGGGACGAAGCCGCTCATCGCGAATAGGTTCAGCAGGTGCCTCCAGAGCGCTGGACTCCTCCGTGGCGCTGCTGTTTGCCTTCTTCCATCTCTTCAGGCAGAAAAATGCTCCTCGCCCACCCACTGGCCCTCCCGTCCTCAAGGGAAAAAACACCTCAGGAAGAAGCCCCAAGCGGAGCCCACCGCCAGGGAGTCCTTACCTTGAGCAGGGGTGAGGTGGGCGGGGAGGAGGGGTGGGGTGGTCCTCCGGGAGGAGCTGCCGGAGGAGGTCGGGCGGGAAGTCCCCAGCTCCTAGACCTAGCAACGCAGCCGCCGGCGCCGTGCACGAGTGACGGCGGTGGTGAAGACGGTGACCGTGGAGCCGCGGCAGCGGCGGCAGAGACAGACACGCCTCCTGGCGGGGGTTCCTCGCCTCTTGCTTTAAAGGCGCCGCGCTCCTTTCCCGTAGCGGGTGCACGCTCCGGGCTCCCCCGGGCCACCTGGACGCAGCGCCAGCCCCAGTACCCCAAGAACTAGATTAACGGAATTCCGGGCTCTGCCAGACTTGGACTTTATGAACCCCCTGGTCAGGACTTCGCCCTCTCCCCGCCTCCTGGGATAGGGAGACCGGGACAGAAATGCTCAGTCGGATAGTGAGTAATTGCCTGGTCCTGAGTGGCGACAACACACTTAAGGAGCCCTAACACGTTTGGTTCTGGGTCGTAGCTTTTATACGTCTCCGAAACCATAGCAACGAAACTTCTCTGCCAGGGTATGGGGAGCAGCTGGTAGTCTCCAAAGTAGCCCTCTTACTTCAACCACTGCATTTCTCTTTGAGATTTGCGGGGAAAATCTTGATCTGCGCTCTCTCCCAGTCCCACTCCTGGTGCACAAACAAATACTCTCCTGTGTGCTTCTAGTGCTGGGATAGAAATCGGAATCAGAGTACCCAGCTCCTGCCTGTTACTGGGAACAAATACCAAGAAAAGGGTGTGTGGGGGGAGGTGGGGGGTGTCCCAGTATCAGGAGGTTAGCGCGCCATCGCTGTCCTGTCTGGCTCTTAAATGCCAAATGTTCTATTGAGGCACTCAAGGTCCCTGAACTCTCAACCCAAGCACATTATGGGGGCGGGGGTGTTTTTTTTTTTTTTTTTTTTTTTTTTTTTAAAGTTGGATTTGAGACCTGGTAGGCGCTCAGCCTGAGGTCACAGACTCAAAGGTAGGGAAAAGGAGCCTGAGGAGCAGCCTGGATTTGGCAGTCGCATATCTGATTCTCCCGTGGACAATTTTAAAAGATCGGAGATGGGAAGGGATCCCTGCGTCCCAGTCTTCCCGTCCCAGTCTTCACGCAGACCTGCTCCCAAGGAGAAACCCATGGTGGTGAGCACACCAGCCAACCCTGCTTCCCAGCAACATGCACACCCAGCTTCTCGGTGAAAGCGATTAGCTTCTGCAAATAATCCCGGATTTCCGCTCCTCTGGGTCAGAAAAGTCAACATGTATTCAATACTGTTGCGACTTTATCCTCAGCCCTACAATATTAACTACAGCAGAGACTTAGCAGTTTCCCCCAGAGTAAATTGGCGAGCTGCGATTCATTAGAAGGTCTAAGTGAGGCTGAGAGGGAACAGGCCTGGCATGCTGTGCCCAGGAGACAATTTTCAAACCGACTGTACAAGGAAGGAACCAGGTGGGATTCCTAGACTCTGTGGAGTCCCCAAGCAGCCCTAATTCCTAGAGGCCTTCCATTCTCTAATTCAGAGGACCATGAAGTAGAGAGGCTCTGACTCCTGGGAGCAGTTGTTTTGACTGGAAATGTGCATTTTTCGTTTTGATGCTGCCTTTTTATGGTCAGCCCTCACAGAATTAAGCCCTCACCCAACCCTGGTGTATGGGTGCCACCTTTCACACACCCTGGGATTAACATCTGAAAGCCTAGCTCAGAAACACTCTGAAATTCAGTCCTTCCAGCATCACCAGTCTCTACCTTCCGGTCTCCACCCCCACACGCCTCCTGTGCCTGCTGGAGTCGGGGAAACTCAGGGCTTAGGTTAAGGAGAGATGAGTTAGTGGCGATGGAGAGTCCGTTAGTCGTTTAAAGATGGGGGTGGGGGTGTCTGGGAGGCTCCCGTAATTAAGTCAACAGCAGCCTTGTTGTAGGGAGTAAATAAATAGTCAATGACTCCATTGTGCATCCTGGAGCGGGCAGCACAGACGCGTGACCGCCTCCAGGCGCCTGGGCTCCAGCTGCTGTGACCTGCAGCCTAATGGACCCTCGAAACAGCGCGAGTTTGGGCCAGGCTGGTAAAAATTGCTCCATTCAGTCCCATGCCCTCACTGGAGTAATGAAGACAACTTGTCTACTAGCCAAAGACACTCTCCTTGTCATCATAACAACCCCCATCCCTTTCAGGGAGGGAGGAGCAAAATACCTGACAGCAGATTCCAGTGGAAATCCCTGATAAAGGTACCTAGCTCTGTTTTGTGGTGATTCTGACAGTATAGAACAAGAAGTGTGCATAATTTTAGCATAGGGTCTGGCATGCAGTATATGTTGAATAAAGAGTGGTGGGATTACTGGCATCAACCTTCCACCTTCTGCACTGTTGTGCCCAGGTCCACCTTGGATACACTGTTATATTCAGAGAGAAGCTTAGGGAACAACTTCCTTTTAGTGCTGCTTGTGATCTTAGACTCTAGCTATGGATTTCTTTTCCAGAACAAACAGGGCACAAAAAAACTATAGAAAAAGCTTAAGCAAGGGCCAGAGGGCAAGGGAAGAGAGCTGAGAAAAAAGTGAAACAAATCAAAATTATGCATGTTGTGAAATATTCATTTCCTCAAATAGCAAAATATTATTTAGATTCAAATAGAAAAGTAGACCAACAAAAGATATTTGACCATACATACTTAACCCTTCAAAAAATTTCGAGTGCTATAAAGATATCTTTTTTATAATTTATTCTAGGATTTGTTAATTGAAGAATCAGAATCCAAGTCCTTTCTGAAGCAGCCATGAAATATTTTCTTCTCTATTCTCAGTCATCCTAAAATAATCTACATTTGAGGAAGTTGGTAGTTCTCAGCCAGTCATGCAGAAATTACCTCCCAATCCTCCCAATTCTTATTTCTCAAAGTCCTCTTTATCAGTTCTGGGATCCTAATTCCTGACCCCAACAGGGACATATCTGAGCTCCCCAAGCTCTCTGCTGGAGTTTGTTTGTTTGGCCTGGTTTGTTTGAATTGAATTTGAGGGTGTTATTTTGGATCATCTCATCCAAGGACTTCATTTTACAGGTGATAAAAACCAAAATGAGAAAAAAGGAGTGACATTTTTTTTCAAAGAATGGAAGAACTGAGATTGCCTTCTAGCTGTACAGAACAACATTAGGTTGTCTTCTCTCATTCCCTTGTAAAACTTAAACTCACATGAAGTTAGAAACTTCAATAAAATTCAAGTTAGAAACTTCTCAGACCTTTCATCTGGAAAAAAAATGTACATGTGTGCACATGACCTTGAAATTTTGCATACAACAAATAATAGAAGATGCATAGATCTTCTGAAGCCTATAGGCTGCTGAGGAGCTCTCAAACCCAGAATAAGAACCATTGATATAGTCCTACAATACCATTTTAGAGATGAGGAAATCTAGACCTAAAAAAACTAAGAGTCAAAGAGTGGCTTAAGAATGGCTCAAGGCACAGCAGCTCAGGAGGCTGAGGCAAGAGAATCATGAGTTTAAAGCCAGCCTCAGTGAAAGAGAAGTGTTAAGTAACTGAGTGAGAACTTGTCTCTAAGTAAAATACAAAATAGGGCTGGGGATGTGGCTCAGTGGTCAAGTGTCCCTGAATCCAATCCCCTGTAAACCTCCTCTCCCTTCAGCCAAAATAAATAAATAAACAGATAATTAATTAATTAATTAATTAATTAATGGCTCAAGGACTTCAGATCAGGTATCTGATTCCCTGATTCCTACCTGTTTCCATTCCTTCAGATCTTTTTATAAGTAATTAGATATAAATTATACCATTGTGTTAATAATACATAATGGCCTACTGGGGTTTTATTCTCAGAATAATTAATATCTGTTCCTGAAGGATGGCCTCTATTATTCATTTCTGAAGCCTCCTGACATATTTATTGAGTAACGCTATATGTCCTATTCTATTACTGGGATAGTAAAATGGCAGTGAACAAATTAAAACCCCTGTCCTCACTGAGCCTTCAGTTAAGTGGCAGAAAGACTATTAACAAATACCTGAGTAAACATACATGATGTCAGATAGAAGGGAGGATTATGAAGAAAAATAAAGCAGATAGCCATAATAGAGCATGTTGGGAAGTTGAGAATGGGGAAGGTGTTATTTTACTGCCAGTAGTCTGGAAAGGTCTCAGGGAGTTGACATTTGAAGGAAATAAAGGAAAAGTGCATGTATGTATTTGGAAAAAGAAGGTACCAAGTAGAAAAAAAATAGCAAGTATAAAGGTCTTGAGGTTGAAACAAGTACAAAACCTCTAAAGAAGAGCAAAGAAGTCAATTTCCAGAGATGACAGTGGAAACTGGTAGAAAATCCAATCAGAGAGGAGCAGAAAGTCATGCCCTGGATAGTTTTGGATTTTCTCTGAAGACAACACAGAAGCCATGAACCGATCTTGACCAGAGGAGCGATACAGTCTGACACATGTGAAGAGGCACTCCAGCTACTCTACTAAGATGGACTGGGCTTAACAAAAGTTATGGTGGAATCAAGGCCACCAGCTGGGAGCTACTGAAATAACCTAGATAAGGGCAGACTATAGATGGGACCAGGGTAGTGACTTGGAAATGATGAAAAGTGCTCAGATTCTAGATATATTTTTAAGTAAAGCTGGATAATTTGATGATGGATCAGAAGAAGAATGAGTTCCAAGTTTTTATTCTGACTAAGAAATGTGGTTATTTTTTGAGGTAAGAACAATTCTGCCGCAGTCCAGCTGCAGCAAAATAACCGGGGAGGTGACAAACAACTTGTGTACATTGATACAGCAGGAGTGGGAGCCGTTTATTGTAGGACAGGAGGGGTATATATACATTACACACAGCTTATCTTAATTAACATAAACTAGATACAGCAGTCAACCAATAAGGAATCTCCACACTTAATGGCTTGCTTGCATTACTTCACAAACCACACCCTCTGGCAAAATGCCAGGCACCATCTTGACTTGTTTACAGACCCTAACATAATTCCAGAAGAGGTTTCAGGGCTATCAGATGAATAATGAGTGAAGATTTGGAATATTAAGAATATTAAGTTTGTGACATGCATGGACATCTAGGTAGAAATGCTGAACAGATAGCTGTA